TAGCTAGCTAGCTACCTAGCTAGCTGCCTAGCTAGCCACCCATCTGATGAGCCTGATATCTTCGTTGCTAGCTGCCCAGTCCCAACTACGAACCTCCAGCTAGCTAGCTGGCTATCTAGCTAGCGCGGCAGCTAGCTGGCTAGCTAGCTGGCTATCTAGCTAGCTAGCTACCTGGCTAGCCAGGCGCCCGCGGCTTCTCTCTCATTTCTTGAGGAAAACGTAACCGAAATATCGTTGCAGTCTTTGCTGCTGCAGCTACTGCTGCAGCTACTGCTGCAGCTGCTGCTGCTGCTGGCTAACTTAGCACGCAGTTCCCTCAGAAGCGCCGCCTCCGCGCCTCGCCGAGGCATCACGAGGCTGGTTAATCCGATAGGCTTCTCTTGCTGCTGCTGCTGCTGCTGCAGCAGCAGCAAGGGACGCAGATGCGGTAGCTGCAGCAGCAGCAGCTTCCTGTCACAGCTTAGCAAAGGTGGGTGGCAAGGCTTTGCTGCTGCAATGCTGCTGCAGAGTTTGCTGCTTGAGAGTTCTGCGGACATATGGGAGCTGCAGCACAGCAGCAGCGTCGGCAGCAGCAGCGGCAGCGTCGGCAGCAGCAGCAGCAGCAGCGTCGGCAGCAGCAGCGGCGCGAGCAGCAGCAACAGTAGCAGCAGCAGCAAGCGGGTCCCTCGGGGGCTGCTGCAGGGCCCCCTTCGCTGCTGCTAGGGCCCCCCGACCCTTAGCAGCAAAAGAAAGACAAAGGGCCCCTGCTGCAGCAAGAAGAGTTTCTTTATCTGGAAAAATGGCAGAGACAAATCCTTTTTGCTGGGCCTCAGCAGCAGCAAAGGAGCGGCCGGAACAGCAGACTTCTCGGGCCCAGCTGCTGCTGCTGCAGGCGCGCTGCAGCCGCTGCAGCAGCGCAGCAGCAGCAGGGGCCCCCTGCTGCAGCTCCTGCGCACTGAAAAATGCGTCAGCAGCAGCAAGTCGAATGTCGCAGCAGCAAACCAGCTGCAGGCCCGCCCCCACACAGGGTCCCGAGACAGCAGCAACAACGGGCTGCTGCAGCAGCTCCAGGCAGCTCAGCGCGGCCTCCAGGGGCCCCTCCAGCTGCTGCTGCTGCTGCTGCTGCTGCTGCTGCTGCTGCGCAGCGCCGCAGCGTGGGGTTGTTGTGACTGCGCAGCAGGGGGAATCCCCAGGCCTCCCCGAGGGGCTGGCGAGTGCCCAGTGGGGCTCTGCTGCAGCAGCAGCGCTGCAGCAGGAGGCAGCAGCAGCAGCAGCAGCAGGTTCTGCGCCGCTGCAGAAGGCGGGGCCCGCTGCAGTCAGCAGCACGCAGCAGCAAGGTGACCAGTGGTACAGTGCGCGCATGCAAAGGGGGAACTCGCGACAAAAAGAGGCCCCCAAAGAGTTGAGCTGCTGCGGCCTATTCAGCGAGACTTCCACTACGCAGCTGCTGCCGAGAGCAGCAGCAACAGAAACTCGCAGGCTTTCGAGGCCCTCGAGGCCCTCAGGGAGAGAAGGCAAGTCCGGCATTGTGTGCAGACGAGGGTTTAGGGTTTAGGGTTTAGGGTTTAGGGTTTAGGGTTTGGGGGGCGGCGAGCTGACCAACCCGGGAGCCACCTGGGCTGACCAATGGTGTCTGCCCCGCAAGAGAGTTCCTCGCGCTGAAATAAATTAAACGTAATTGCAATTTTAAAGAATAAAACAAATAAAAGGAAAAAGAAAAGAAAGGGGCGGAGGAACAGCCAAAGTGGGAGCAGCAGCGGAAGTGACCCTCCGCGTAATCCGGTGTACGTACACCTCAGCGAGTGAGCAGCAGCAAGGGCCCCAGGGTCCAAAATGGAGAGTTTTTTGCAAATTTAATGCCAAAAAACAAAATAATATTTCAATTAAGTGTTTTTAATTGCTTCGAATGGAAAAAACTCGAAAATTATCGCTGGTCTTCTGACGCGTTGCATAGACACCTGAATGCGAGCGCCGAGCTGTCTATACACCTCAGGAATTCGCTGGAAACTCATCTGCAATTTATTACAAATCCAATAAGCCAAAAAAGTATCTTTTTATCTGTGCCTCCACTAAACCGTAACTAGCTGGGCCCCAGACCCTAAACCCTAAACCCTAGCAAAACCCTAGACCCCAAACCCTAATGCGAAACTCTAACTAGCTAGGTCCCAGACCCTAAACCCTAAACCTTAGCTAAACCCTACACGCTTAGCCTTAAACTCCGAGCAACTACTTCCTACCCGTCTGGGCTGGGCATAACTCCAAGCTAGCTTCGTGGCTAGCTAGCTACCAAGCTAGCCAGTAGCTAGCTACCAAGCTTGCCAGTAGCTAAGTAGCTAGCTAGCTAGCGAGCTAGCTAGCTAGCGAGCTAGATAGCTATCCAGCTAGTAAGACATCTAGCTAGCTAGCGAGCTAGTTAGCCAGCTTGCTAGCGAGCTAGCGAGACAGCTAGCTAGCGAGCTAGCTAGCTAGCTACCAAGCTAGCCAGCAGTTAGCTAGCTAGGACGTTAGCTAGCTAGATAGCTAGCTAGCTACACGGAGACTGCTGAAGGCCCGAAGGGTTCTTTCTGCTCTAGAGACTATTTCTAAACCCATTTGCTGCACAAAAAGTCTCAGGGGCCCTTTTGTATTCTTCACCGTCTCCTTGAAGCCCCTTAAGGGCCCCAAAAGGGGCCCCAGGGGGCCCCAACGAGAAGCCCCTGGGGGCCCCCAGGGGCCCCCAGAGGTTCCCAGGGGCCCCCAGAGGTCTCCAGGGGCCCCTAGGGGCCCCCCAGGGGACCCCAGGGGCCCCTAGGGGCCCCCATGGGGCTTCAGGGGCCCCCGGGGGGCCCCCAGGCTTTCGTTTTGTAGGCCCTGGGCCCGCCGCACCCCCCAAAAGAAAGCAGCAGAGAGAAGGGCCCCCAAGGGTCCTGGGGGCCCCCCTGAGGTCTCGCACCTTAGCGAGATCAGCATTTTAACTTTGTAGGGTAAAGTGCGCAGGGGGCCCCCAGCCAGGGGCCCCTGCATTATTGAGGGGCCCCCTTAATTAGGGGGCCCCAAGCCAGGGGGCCCTGCCTAATTGGGGGGGCCCCCTTAATTAGAGGGGGCCCCCACACCAAGAGGGCCCCCGTGACCAGGGGGGCCCCCCAGACCAGGGGGTCCCCCCAGACCAGGGGGGCCCCCTAAATAAGGGGCCTCGACTACAGCTCTGAGAGATTTAAGTTGAAAGCCATTTCATCTAACTGCTGGTGGACTTTCTCGAGAAGGTCGCTGTCGGGGGCCCCCGAAGCAGCAGCAGAGGGGGCCCCCGCAGCAGCGGCAGGGGGGCTC